GGTTCTACACTGGGGTGGGCGATGTGGCAGGAGGTTCTACACTGAGGGGGATGATGTCATGGAGGGGGGTTCTACACTGGGGTGGGTGATACCATGGAGGGGGATTCTACACTGGGGTGAGAGTGCTCAGATGAGAAGACGTTGGAGGTCTCATAAATACAATCCTGCCACGGGCAGCACTAGGAGGGCAGGGGTCTCCTCTCTCCCATCAGGCCAAGGGACCCTACTCTTTTCCCACATCCAGACGAGGGCTCCCTAAGCCTCCTGCCCCGGACCGGCCCAGTCCTACACCATAGAAGCCTGGCAGCTCACCTGGCTGGAATGTGACTGGGCAGTGCTCCAGGCTGGCCTCTCCCTCCGAGCTTTGCCCTGACTCCCTGTCACTACCAAACCCTGACTTGGGCTGGGAGAGGGGGTAGTGAAGGGCAGCCCCTCTGCTCCCACACCCCCAGCACAACGCAATGCCATTAGGCAAGGGCCCCCGAGACACCACAGAGGCGAGATGTGGAGAGAAAGTGGGCTTCAGTTACAGCCCCAGAGAGAGGCTGGATCACTCCATGGGGGCACCGAGTCAATACAGGGATGAAATCCATCCCAGTGATGAGCGCAAGATTCTTGGCGAGGGCACAAGGAACGTCTGTCTCCTCCTCCTGCCTTCCCCCCTGCTCCCACAGCTCAGCCTCACACTCAGCTCAGACTGTCACTTTCAAACCCGATAATGCTTTTTCACAACTGGCTGAGTCTGCCCCCTCCTGCCATCTCTCCCTGACCCGAGCATCCCTGTGGGCAGAGACACGCGGACCTCGCCCTTAGGGAGCTGGCCCGACTGTGGGAGACAATCCTCGTCCTCCAGCTGTCCCTGGTCAGATGGGGAGACAGCCCTTGCCCGAATGGAGCCCCGCTCTGACTCCTCACGAAAGCCTCCCCCAAGCTCCAGCCCCGGCTCTATCTAGAAAGGCAGGGAGAGGCTGCTGTAAGCGGCCGCGGCAGGAGCACCGGAGCTCTTCCCCACCACGCCGCGTCTCTGCTGGCAGCAGCTGCAGACACGAGCTTCTCCGTCTCTGCCAAGGGCTCATCAATCAGGGCACCAACGCTCCAGGGGCGGAGAGGCTCCTCCACCTACGCCCGTCTCCCATCAGAGATCCAGAGCTGGAAAGCATGGGACTCCCACCCCCTCTCCTTTACAGATGAGGAAACTGAGGTCCAGACAGACTGAAGCAGAGAGAAAGCTCAGGCTTGGAAAGAAAGGGAGGCCAGAGACCCTGGGTTCTAATCCTGGCTCCTGTCTGAGGACCTTGGGCAAGATCTCACCTTGCTCTAAGCCTCAGTTTACCTCACCAGCAAAATCAAGAGGTTGGATTAGACACCATGTAAAGTCCTGCCCGGGGCTGAGTCTGTGATCCACCAACGTGACTTACCCAAGGTCACACAAGTAAGTAAATGGCAAAGCCAAGATCTGAACCCAGGTGCTCTGGCCCCAGACTGAACGCACGCCTCGCTCCTGGCCCATTAGGCATCAGTCCAATGGAAGGATGGGATTCATTTCACAGATGAGGCTCAGGGCAGCGAGATGCGTGCCCAAGACTCCAGGCTGCCATAAGCCCTCAGACCCCACAGGCTCTGCCTCCGTCTCCACGGCTGGGGGAGGCCTGGTCATCTCTAGAAAGGGAGAGGGACACAGTGTGCCAGCAGGAAGCTGCAGGCGAGGAGAGCTAACTCTGAGGTTTGCAAAGCACTTTGATAAATGAGTTCATCTGATCCTCACGATAAGCCTCTAAATGAAGTAGGTGCCAACACGGCCATCTCAGAGCTAAGGAACTGAAGCTGAGGTTAGGAACAGGTCCCACAGCCAGCCGGGCGTGTCTGAAGGAGGATTCGCACTCAGGTCTGACATTCAGCCCCTGTGCCACCCGACTGAGGAGGGGATCCTAGGGAGGTCCTTTCAGGTTCAGAATGCCAGCGCCCCAGGAGGAAGGCGGAAACTGGGAGCAATCAGCCTGAGGGAGATGGCTGGAAAGAAGGCTCTCAGCCTGGTTAGCTGGAGGGAAAGGAGGAGGAAAGGATGTCAGAGAGGCAGGGGGGGAAGGCTGTCAGGTACCAAGAGGAGGCTGTGAAGCGAGGCCGAGGCCGGGGCTTGCTGGTTTCCATGGCGATGCTCCCCAGTGGACGAAGCAGGGGGATGGGCGTTTCATTAGGCCCACGGGCCGGTGAAGGAGCCTGCTGGCGCAGCCAACGGGGGGAGAGGTCCCCTGGGCCCAAGGGGCAGCTTCTCGTCACCTCGTCCCCAGGGCGCGAGCAGGAGAGAGCCTGCCCAGGCTCACGCGCCCCAAGGTGGCTCCATGGGGTTCTTCCAGTGTTATTCATCCCTCCACCGCCAGTGAGTTTAACGTCACCTGCCTGCAGGCAAGGCCGCCCACCACGTAGGAAGGCAAAGGGGGTGGCTGGCTCCCATTCTGAAGCCTGCCTCGCCCAGACCACACGGGGTGGGGGGGGTCCTCGGCCCCACCCTCCACATACTCTTCTCCTCCCATGCCATCTGATGGGTTAGAAATGAGCGGGGGTCTCCTCCATCCAGCACAAAGAGCACTGGATTTGGAGTCCAGAGGACTTGGGCTCGAATCCTACCTTTGGATGACCTAGGACAAGTCATTTCAAGACCTAAATTTCAGAGCCCGAATAAGGGCTTTAGGTTCCTGAGTCCAGTTCCCTCATTTCCTCTGACAAACAGAGACGTGAAGTGACCTGTCCAAGGTCACTATTAGTGTCAGGGGCAGGCTATGACCCGGGTGACTGTGAAGGCCCCAATACAGAGGGGAGACCTTGTGATGAGGAGAGCAGGCTCCCCAGTGAGATGCCCTGTGGGTGTCAGGAGGAGACCAGCAGGGGAAGGTGGTGCCACCAGTGGGGAAGGAGTGCTGGGGAGCCTGGGGTGCCCCAAATCTTTAGGTACAGCATCACTGCAGAGAAGCACTCGGGGCAGGGTCTCACCCCAGACTGAGGCCTCCCGGAGGCATGGGTCCACACTGCCCATCAGACCAGGCACTGGCTCCCAGGGGGCAGGAACTCGGTGTCCCATCAAAGCAGGGGCTCCCTGAGGGCAGAACCTGGACCCCACATCCGCAGCAGAGACTACCTCTCCCCGCTTCCACCGATCAGACGAAGGACCAGGTCTCCTAAGGTTGTTTCTGTTCCCCCTCGCCCCCCGTCCCCAGGTGGGACTCACCTTCAGAAACAGGAATCACACTCAGGACTTTCAGGTGAGGGTTGGGGAGAGGGATGGCGCACACATCTCTTCCCAGTTTAGGCAGTGGAGGAAGGGTGAACGTGATCTCATACTTGTGCATGATCTTCAGGAAGCCAATCTGTGGGGGGCAGAAGGAGTGGTTAGGGGGGCCCTGAGCAGAGAGAAGAGACGCAGGCATGGCCCAGGGGGCCTGCAGCTCGTTAGTCACTGTGCTCCCCGGCCCCCTGGCAGGCAGGAACACGTGTGCCTGCATGCGCACACATACACACACGCATGCACACACACACACACACACACATCACCTGGTCAGTTGGCTGGGCTTCCCTGTCTGGCCTGCACACATGCCCGGTCTCCCTAACTAGACCACCTCCAGAAGTGCCCCTGGACTACTCCTACAAAAAGCCCATCCAATGGGCCCCACAACGCACGGTCTACTCCCCACCATCCACAGTCTTGTCTTCATTCCCCCGTCTTCCCTTCCTCCACCCACCCACCCACCCACCCATCCCCTCCTCTGGTCCACCTGCTCAGATCAGCACAGGCCCTCCCTGCCATCACCTGGACTGGACCACTGCAGACTAAGCCCTGCCCACGCTCACGTGGTTTCCAGAATATTCCTCCTGACAGGTCCCTCTGGCCTTTCCCTCTTCTGAGAGGCCACAGAGCACAGTGGCCAGAGACGTGGGTGTGAGGCCCAACTTGGCCAGTGGCAGCTGTGGGGGTGTGGACGGGCTCCCTGCCCTCTCTGGGGCCTCCGTTTCCTGCTCTGTAAAACAGGGGTCACATCCCTCGCTCTAGACTTGCAGACTATATCACAGAGCTCTTGTGAACAAAGCCAGATTTAATTTCCTCCAGAAATGGGAGCCACAACTGCCAGCCTTCTCTCCCCAGCTAGACAATAAGCCACCTGAGGGCAGGGGCTGGCTCTTCTTCCGCCTCCCCCAAAACAGAGCAAACACATCCACTGATCTTCACAAGCAGCCTTCGTTGGGGCAGCAAGCAGGGCTGGGATTACTGCACCCATTTTACAGAAGAGGAAACCAAGGCAGAGGAAAGGAATGTCTCGCTCCACCACATCACCCAGACTGGCGGAGCTCAACGTAGGACCCCAGGTCCCACCTACACTCCCTAGACTCCAAGCTGTCACATTAACATGGAAGGCCCCAAGGGCAGGGCCCAAGTGTGTTCTCTCTCTTTTCATGAGTGTGGGCTCCTCTAAGAAAAGGCCTGGGTATGGCTGCTGCCAAGAAATGGAAGTGCCCTGAGGGGAGGACACATTTTCTTTCTTGTCTCCGAAGGTGATATTTAATGAATGCTTGATAAATCAAACAGAACGGGATTCACGTATGCATAGATTTCAAGCTGGAAGGGACCCAATTCCCCTTCATTTGGCAGATAAGGAAACTGAGGCGCAGATTCAAAGTGACCAAGGTGGTGAGTGGAGGAGCAATGATTCGAACCCAGGGCCTCTAAACTCAACCCAATGCCTCTCACCCCTCGGAGGACAAGCAAGGGCCCAAAGGTCCAGATCAGGCCAGGGAGCACACAGCCCCGCCACCCCACTTCAGCTTGATCCGCCATCAAGGACACCTCAGATCAGCAGTCACAGATTCACGTCACCTTCCTCTCCACCATCGCCAGAGTCCATCCATCCATCCTGGGCACCAGTTCCCCAGCCCCAGGACCACGGCATCCTTCCCTGGCACCCCCTCCTTCACACCCCTTCCCTTCTGTCTCCCTAGGAACCCAAACAACCTCCTTCCCCCCTTTCTCCCACCCTGCAGCCCTCCTCCAACCCCGGTGTGCCCAGCCTGCACCCCTGTGCCCCGCCTTTTTTAGTCCTGGCCTCACCTGTACTCCCCTCTTCCACTCACACAAAGCCTAGGAAAGGTGGAAGGCTGCCCTGAGGGGGCTGGGAGCAGGCAGTGGGGACACCAAGGGGAGGCAGGACTCTTAGTCAGGGCTTTCCCGAACCCCCTGCCCCTTGCTGCTCCAGGCCCCAGGAGAAACACTTCCATGTTCCATGGCCTGCAGTCAGGGGGGCTGGGTCACGGGTTCAAGGTCAGGAGGTCTTACTAGCTAGTGGGCTGGGGGCCAGGCCATCAGCAGCCTGAGCTTCACTGTCCTGCCAGACAAAGAGAATAAGAACACGGGAAAGAGGCTGGCAAAAACCCTGCCTTCTTGGCAGAGGTGGAGGGCTGTGGATGGAGAATACTGCATATACTGTCAGGCTTAAAATGCCCATTGTTTTTTGCTTTTTTTTCCCTCCCTTTTCAGATCCTTCTTTATAAAGGATGGCCGAGATCACTCAAGCTAGGCACCCAGGTGAGGCCGCAGTGCCTAAAATACCCAGCCTGGACTCAGCAAGACCTGAGTTCAAATGTAACCCTAGACACTTACTAGTGGTGTGACTCCAGGCAAGTCATTTAACCTTTGTCTGCCTCAGTTTCCTCAGCTGTCAAATTGCATAACAGCAGCAGGGCTGTTGTGAGGATCAAATGAGATAATATTTGTAAAGTGCATACCACATTTCCAGGCACATACTAGGCACTTAACAAATCCTAGTTGTCATGATGATGGTAATGAGAATATTACCAGATGTCAAGGCAGCTCCCCCCAACTCTAAGTTGCAGGTGCACGAGTGGGAGACGTGTCCTCCCAGAAAGCTCCTTCTACCAATGACATCATAAGTTAATACACAGAGAGGCAGATGGGCAGAGGGACAGACAGACAGCCAGCCAATGAATCTTAACAGCCAGCCTTTACCCAGAGCTTTAAGGGTTACAGAACACTTTACTGTCATCTCAGTTGAGATAGGTGTTTTTATCCTCCATGTTTCACAGATGAGGAAACTGAGGCAAACAGGGTTATTAAATGACTCACCCAGAGTCACACAGAAAGGAAGTATCTGAGGTCAGATTTGAACTCAGGTCTTCCTGACTCCATGTCCAGCACCCTATGCCCCTAGCTGTACAGGCAGGCAGGTAAGTAGATCAGACAGAGAGACAGACAGGATAGATATGAGAAATAGATGATATAGTATATAAATAAAATGATAAGAGATGATAAAGAGATGAGAGATCCATGGAGATTCGAGATAGAGATGATAGGTATAGGAATGAGAAAGCGATGGCGTTAGGTAATAACAGCGCCTGCCTCCCAGGTGTCCCAGGAGATGATCACTGTAAAGCGCTTAGCGTGGCGCCTGGCCAGCAATGGCTCCTGGGATAGCGCCCCCGCCCCAGGCCACGACTCACTGAAATGTGCCACATCGATCGGCATTAGAAGAGCAAGACTCCTCACTGGGAGTTCCCAAGGCCACTGAAAGCCAAGGCTGGGACCAAACCCCACCCCGAGATTTCCAGGGTACAAATCCGGCATCCGCTTGCATTAAATCCCACCCATTCCATCCTTCAGGGCCCGCCTCAAGCCCTACCAACTTGTACACCTAGGACCCAAAGGGCTCATCTCAGGAAAAGGAGAAACGTTGCCGTTGCCAGGGGGTGTCAGGTAGGGAGGCAGGAGGGGATACACCCACCCTGTCAGGGAGAGGAAGAGAAGAGCTGAATCCTTGGGTCTTGGGTCCCAGGCCAAGCAGCCTCCCAGAGCCCGGCGGCTTCTCAAGAAGGCCATCTGGTAGAGCAGGAAGGATGGCGACATCTCTGGACACACCCTCACACACACGAGCAGCACACAGACACACACCAAACACACAGGCCCTGTTTCAGGAAGGGCAAGTCGGAGGAGGAAGCGTGCACCTCAAGGGGCCGGGGTTATTATTATTTTGTGGCTAGAGAGCTGGTATCAAATCCAAGAAGGCCTGGGGTCAAGTCCTCCCTTGGGTGCATCCTGGTCATGTCACCCTGGGCTAGTCACTGACCTACCTGTGTTCAAGACCTACCCTTGGGCACATTGTGGCTGTGTCACTGCACCGCTCGATGCTCTAGACACCTCTCTAAGACTGTAAATTGCAGAGGAGACATGATACCTGCAGGGGTAAAGGTGTTTCCACCCCAAGAAGGCACCTATGAGTCCCTAGTGCCCGGCACATAGCAGGCACTTAATAAATGCTTGTTTATTGATTTGATGCATGCAGTAGGTGCTTAATAAACGACTGTTACATTAAACTGGAATCAGGCAGCCAGCTCTAAATCTCTCCCAGCCACCCCCTCTCAACCTTAAAGTGTGAGGAGGAAGGGCTCCTTTTCTCATTATTCCACCCACCCCGCACCCAGGCACTCACCTCACTGCTCACCACCCCCACCACCACGCTCCTACCACCTTCCCCGGGGCAAGCCTGAGCCCCCAGAACCCTGCCCAGCGCACCCAGGCTTCTGACTGCTCCCTCCTAGGAAGCCTCCTTCCATCAGACCTCAAGCCCTGGGTCACCCCACGAAGCCCTCCCTGAGACCCAAGAAGACAGGACCTTCGCCAATGCTGAGACCAGGCAAGCCTCTGGTCAGAGCCGTGGGCCTGACCGGGAGGTCCCAGGTGCCGGCAGAACGCCCACACAGCTCACAGGTCACAGACTTAGAGCAGGAAGGTCCTTTGAGGCCACTAAGGCCAAACCTGCCTCACAAGCAAGGCCCGACATGACTCACTAGGAATCAAACAATGACTACTAAGTGTCTGAGGGAGGATTTGAACCCAGCTCCCGAGGCCAAGGCTAGCTCTCATTATATAACTTCCACGATTCCTCTCCGACTGTGCTGCCTGCTCCCATCCAAGACGGGGAGCCCAAGGGAAAGACAGCATCAGCAGCCAGAAACCACAGGGTACAGGGCCCAGCTCCTCCTCCTACTCAAGGTGTGGCCTTGGGCAGGCCTCCCTTCACCCAGCTGGGCCTCAGTTTCCTCATCTGTAAAAGGGAAACAGCAATGCCAGACACAGTTGTTATGAAGAAGGTCTTTGGGAAATGGCAAACCCACGTGAGCCCTGAGCTGTTTTGTTGACATGAGAACAGCCGAGGCCTAGCAGGGGCGTCGTCACCGGGTCATGGGTCAGTCACAGCCACCAGAGACCCGTGGGGGTGATGCACGTGTACACACACACACACACACACACACA